CAGGATAATAAGTTTGCTATCTATTACTTTATATGGTTATAACTGGATTTCCCACCTTTATTTTAAATACTTTTATCATTGCTTTGTAATTACCTATATGTATTCCTTACCCTAGGGAAGTAGCTGAATCTAGTCATTTTTACGTCCATGGTACAAACCTTAAATGGTGCTGAGTAAAAGATATTTGAATGAAGGAGTTAATATTATACATTATACCTGTAAGTAGTAATTTGAATTTTGTCATGTGTGTTCAGAACTGCAATTAGTATGTAAAGTCTCATAGTTTTGTTATTTAAAGGCAGTTAACATTATGCTTGTTTAAAAGCAGGGAAACACATGCACATGGCTCAAAAGTGCGAAAGGTTCAAGAAGTGAAACTGAAAGACTTAGCTCTTGTTTGCTTCCTTGTTCCCCAGTCAGTCTCCTCTCCTGATGCAAAGCTAAGTTACCAGGTAGTGCTCCCAGAAGAATCTTGGCATTACTGAACTTTTACACATATGGATCCTATGCTACTTAAATTGTACTATATGGGTGTTTTCCCAAACTAGCTACTGCATTCACTGTGGCACTAATGTCCAGGCTTTTTTGATGCACCACAATCTAGTGGACTGCACTACCATTGCAGAATACTTTGTTTCCAGTAACTTTGTAACACAAATTGCTGTGAGAAATTAGCCAGTAGCTGATCAGATGGTCCTCATGCTGAAGGCAGGTCTTCCCTACCTCCCCCCACTCATTCAAACTCACATGCTGTCCTACTCAGAAAACACCCCAAAGACAACCCTAAAACTATGCTTTAGCAGATTCCCAGGTATTCCTTAATCCAGTCAATCAGACATCTAAATTAACCATCACAACAGTCTGAACGGTAGAAGTCAAATGGCTGTACCTCACAAGTATTCTTATAACCATGCTATCAGAAAGAAAAAAATCAAGGCCAACCTCAGACTTGTTCACAATATTCAGTGTGAAAAGCTGAAATGTAACAAAATGCAGCAGCCATGTTGTCGTTGAAGAGCAAATGCTGATATCCTGTCCAGAGGGCAATGGGTTGTCTGAGGCCAGGTTGGCCTTCCAGTCTTGAAGAATAAATAAGGAGTCATTTCTACACTGTGGCTATCAGGCAGCTCACCAATGTGACACCTCAGAGAAAAGAATCAAATGAGGTAAGACTGATGATTGCCCCCGGGATGATTTCATGGCCACTGTGGTGGGGGGGAACAAAAGAGAATGTTGTGCTCTTCTGGGGCGAAAGAGAAAGATCAGGGTTGGGGAGACCAAAGGGGCTAGAACTGGCTGTGAGCGAGAGAACAGAAGCAGAGGGAAGCTCCAGAGGTAGATGGAGGGGTCCCTGGAACCTTTGATGCTTATCACAAACCTGAGAGCAAGGTACAGAACAGGGAGGGAGCCGCTGCCGAGCAGCATGGTTAACACATCCCAGACCTTACACAGGGCTGGGAAGAAAGACCTTGCCATCGAGAATCCAGAAAGAGACCAGCATATCTCCAGGGCAGTTCATTAGGAAAACAATAACCTTTTCCAAACATCAAAATCAAACAATTTCAGAGCCACATATCTAAAAACCACCTTCAGCCCTTACCTCATTTCATATACAAAAATTAACTAGAAATAAATCAAAGCCTTAAATCTAAGAACAAAATCATAAAACTTCTGGTAGAAAACACATTTTGTATCTTATGTTAGGCAAAGATCTCTTAAATATGACATTTAAAGCATAATTCTCAAAAACAGAAAGATTGATAAATTAGACTTGACCAAAAATTTTTAAAAGTTCTTCAAAAGATGTTAAATAACAATTTAGAGAAGATATGTGTAAAAGTCTAAGGGGCCTGGCCAATGCTAAATTGAGAGGAAAATCCATAATTAAAGAAATCCAGAAATTTAGGAAAGGGAAAACCAAATAAAAGACAGGAATGGAGTAGCAGTAAAAACAAAATTTAATATTAAAAAAACAAACCCAGAAGAATAAAATAGATACATAGAAAAGAGCAGAGATCAAAATATTAATTACTATTTCTAGAAACTTCCTGAGTCCTCATTATCACCCTCGCCTTGGCAGTGAGATAAATCTGTATACTGATCAAATTTGTCACTTTCTGTCCCAAGAAAATCTGAGTTGTTTTTATATATAAATAGATGTACAATAACTTTGTATTTGGTTGGGACACCTTATCCAGCAAATACAAAATGTAAGACTGAAATATTTGATTATGTAGAGATATTAAACTTGAGTCAGCAAGAAGAACTATAAATATGTTTTAAAGTGTAGAAATGTGATGTAAATACAAACAAAATAAATATATATACATATATATGCAACATACAAAACTGAGAAAGGATTAATAGTCTTGTTGTTCAAAAATTATAAATAGAATAAACATCTCTACATAATAAAGAAACCAACACTGTAAACAAAAAACCTGCACCATTAACAATATACAAGACACATTGATCCTCCGTGATTAAAAGAAAATAATACAACGAGATAGTTCTTGTCTCTCAGTTTGTGAAAGATTAAAAATATGAGCAATATTATTCGTTGGAGTAGACTGAAAACCAGGAAGGGTCCAGTGCAAAGTGCTGTTGGTTGGATTTTAAACCAGGCCCAACTTCCTGCTGGGGTACAAATATTTGTTGACTCACAAAGTCTTCTTCTAAGAACTTACTCCGACAAAACACCTAGACAAGTTGATGGATTTGAACATATAAGGAGTACTACCATATCGTGCAATGAAAAACTGGAAACAAGCTACATGTCCACCTAAAAGGGCTTGTATGAAGAAGTGGTGGCTACTTTGTACAATAGCAAACATGACAGACTGCCATGAAAAGGGGTGTGGTGGCTAATGGCTGAGATTTTAAAAAGCAGATTAAAGTAGAATATGGAGAAGGACTCAACTTTAACAGAAATGTGTGGATGGACATCAAGGTCATTGCCCAGCTAAGAACAGAATTACTTCCAGTGTGAACCATTGATTATATCTGCGTTCTTCTGTTCCTTTTGAATATTTTTTGGTCATGAGCATAGATAGTGGTCGTATCATGATACAAAATTAATTCCACACTGAAAAAAAAGGGTTACTGAAATTCTGTGCCACTCCTTAAATGATAGTCAAAATAAGTAGGCTTAAGTAGAAAAAAATCAAGTTCTCACCATAATATCCAGAGTGGTGAGGGTAATAAAACATGAACTCTCGTGTTCTGGTTGAGGTGGGTGTGTCAGTACTTTTCTCTAATGACCCATGGAGTAATGCATAGCAACAGCTTCAGTAAAAGTGCAAGTAAAACCTAAGCAAGGAAATAATCTCTGGTTATTGTTCATTATCTCAGAGATTATTGATTATCTATGGTATGGACAAAGCTTTATGCATAAAGATATTTATATGTTCTTTTTCAATCATAATTTTAAAACTAAAACAACATAACTGTACACAATATATAGGTTATATGCATACATAGCTCCATAATGCATTCAATAAATGTTTTCTGAGTGTCTCCTCTGTGCTGGACTTGTTGGCAGACGTTGAGAATCAGTGGTACACAATGCTAACATTCCCACCTCCTGGAACTCATTGTCTACTCTAGGGGGAAAGAGACAATCAGCTCATTCCACAAGTAAGCTAGGTGCTATCCAAGAAAAGTGCAGGCTGCTGAAATGCATGTACCACGTTCCTTTTTAATCAAATAGTTCAATAAAAAGAGAAATGCAACCTGGGTGTGGTGGTAGATACCCATAACCCCAGCACTTGGGAGGCAGAGGCAGCCTGAATGAGAGACAGATAGATTCAGAGAGAGAGAAAGAGAGGGAGAGGGAGAGAGAGAGAGAGAGAGAGAGAGAGATGAAAAATATATTGTAAAAGTCTATCATCATCTCAAGAAATGACAGTGGCAGGGGAACAGCTCAAGTGGTAGGTTGTTCCTGGGTTCAGTCTCTAGTAACACATACACACGCACACACTCAGAGTATGTCATCACCATTGGCAAATGAAAAATATCTCTATAACTTAAAAAAAGTGCAAGATGCAAAGCCCTGAGTTCAATCCACAGTACCACAAGAAAAAAAGGAAAGAAGGAAGGAAGGAGAGAGAGAGGGAGGGTAGGAGAGAAAGAAAGAAGAAAGGGAGGGAGAGAGGGAGGGAGGGAAGGAAGGAGGAAGGAAAGAGAGAAAGAAAATGATGTGGAAGAGGGTCTCTGAGGGCAAGAAATGACTGTTTGCAGACTGTTAACCAACCACTCAGCAGAGAGGGCACCAGGCATGAAGTCCTAAGCAAGAATGTTCAGGACCACGGCCATCAGAGCACTGAATGCAGAGAAGGATGAAACCCCTCAAGTTATCATTTAATGATGTGCAAATGAGATCCAATTGGAAGAGGAAATTTGAAAGACTTGTCCCCCCAATAAGGCGTGGCAATAAGGATGTATCAGGAGGTGTACGTCTTTCCGTACATTCTACAGGACCTTGACAAAGGTTTAGGATTTCCTTTGGGAACAGTGGTGAGGGACAAATCCATTACCAGGAAGTCATCTCTTGAGGGAGTTGGAGCTCTATGCTGTCGGCTGCTAGAATCAACACCACTTTGAGTTACAGGTCCTGAAGTATTTCGCCGTTTAGGGATTCTAACCTGTCCTGACACTGTAGGGTGAACTGGCTTCCATCTACCATGACAAAGATTATAAATGAATTGCAGGATTGAGGAAGTCCTGGGAAGACCATGCCTCTCCTTCGTTCATGTTGGTTGGCTGCAACCATAGCAACCTCTTACTCCAGACTAAAGTTCAGTCGCCACAACTCTTTATGAGCACGATCACGGTTCAGTGTTCAGAAGCGTAACCCTGCCTATGAAGAATGAGGCTTTATATTTCACAACACAATGTCCAAGTCTATTTCTGAATACTAGACTCCAAATGATAAGGAGCAAAATTATCCTAAGAAGATCTTTGGGTTTTTTTTACCTAAGGGAACTTATTTTCCTGAGAAAATGCCAACAACACAGAAAACATTGATGTTCTTAACCAGCTTTGTCACAAGCCTTGGGTCTGTCATCGTGATTTGCTCGATACTCGGGACACAAGAATGGATCACCAGCACAATTGCCACTGTAGACTTATTTTCCAATGGTACCGTCAGCATCACCTACGGCCTTTTTCGTGGCAAGAGTGGTCAAGTATTGGATCAGGGGCTTCCAGAACTAGACAAACACTTTGAAGGTAAGTGTTAAACTAATTTGAATGGGGATGAGGAAAGTGAATTAAGATTCATGTCATTCTATTTGTGGGCCAAATAAGCATTCAAAAGCAATTTCCTTGTAAGCACCGAGTCAGGTAGAAGATTGTAAGTTTTTGAAAACTCATTTTCTCATTATTTCAGCTTCCTTGGTTCTACCTGTGTTTTCTCGTGAGTCTAAAGCATTTGCACAGCAGCTGTATTTGAATGGTATCTACCTTGTTTATTGACGAGTAAATAATTAAGTTAAAGTAAACACCACAATGCTGTCTAAGTGTCAAGTAGGAACAGCATTTCTAACTATATGAGCTGTGGATTTGGAGTTGGGGCAACAACTCCTTTCCAGGACTCCTTATATCATAGAAGAAAAAAAATATAATCAACCTCCATTTCCTATTTCTCAACTTCATTCTTTTATGTTTTGAATTTACATTCCAAAATAACTAATTGGGAATATCTGATTTCTATTAATTGTATATTTTACAGAAGTTCCCATATTTTTCCTTGATTTTGCATATAATAATTTCTTCCTTTCAATAGACAGAAAATAAAAATTTATTGAGAATTGCTTTAGCTACTTGACTTTTAAAGTCTGATATCTACCATTATGGTTTTTTAAAAATTAAAAATCACATTTGTAAATTGTGTAACACATAGGTGGACTTTGTTTTGAACAGTGACCTGTGCAGTGTTGTACAATCATTACCTTTTAGCTTATAAGGCTGCATCATTTTCTACCTTATGAAAATAGGATACTTGCTCACCTTATAATGCTCTAACTCTAGGACTTTGTTAATGAAATAGTTTTCTTAAACTCAGAGCAGCAGGTTATATTCCCAAGTTATAAATCTGTCTGTCAGATGATAGGAAAGCCATGTTTCCCCTAGGTGTTCAACACCTCACCCTCTCCGCTAGTGTCAGTCGCAGCCCCCAGAAGGAAAAGGAAAACTTGCCTTATTACAACTGGAGCTAAGACTTTCAAAGACTCAGTCAAGTCTCAGTTATGTAAATAGCACTTTCAAAACCAAAAAGTGTACCAGTTTCTGAATCCTCGGACACATTTAAAATTCTTAAATATGAGACAAAACTTGCAAAATGTTGTTTTTATGCACTGTCTCTTTGGAACCAGCTGATTCCAACTGGAGATTAATTTCTTTTTGTTTTTTTGTGGTACTGGGGTTTGAACTCAGGGCCTACACACGTTGAGCCATTTCACCAGCCCATTTTTTGTGATGGGTTATTTATGTATGTATGTATTTATTTATTTTAGATAGGGCTTCTCAAACTAGTTGCCCGGGCTGGCTTCGAACTGTGATCCTCCTGATCTCTGCCTCCTGAGTAGCTAGAATCTATAGGCGTGAGTGCCGGGCTGGAGATGAACATCTTCAATGGAAGCCCCAAGTCTCTAGCTGGGGAGGCCCAGAGGAGACCAGGGCAGATCAGGCCTGGCTCAGAAGCCCTGTGTGAGGGTGGCCATGCATGCTGATGTCCAGGAGGAGGAACAGCACAGGGGGCAAGTCAAATGAAACTACAGCTCAGTCTGGGAGCAAAAAGAGGCAGAATGTTTTTATTCCCTTCACCTGGCTCTCTATTTGTACTCTTTGCTACTGGGGAGTCACATTCCAACCTCCCACATCACTGTCCAACCTCCCCATGCTGTAGAAGGTAAACCACCACCCAATCAAGAGACTGCACTATTGCTCTGGCTGACGTCAAAGGACCCCTCGGAATGAACGGTGTCTTCATTGTCAGTGACTATAGTAATCATTGAACTTGGGACACTCGTAAACAGTTCTCTCAGATAGGAAGGAGGCAGGTTACTAAAACATCTAGCTTATTGTGTTCAGCTGCTAATGATCCATGGGTGCTTCCCTGACAGCAAATCTCAGTCTTCACAGTGAAACATGGATGCTCCCCTAGCAGGACATAATTCAGAAAGGAATCGAATCATTGGCAGCAAAACAGAATCTGTATAAATGGAGTTTTCCCACCCATCAGTGGTGGATTGACTATTCCATTGAGAAGTGGACTTCTTGGCTAGAGCCAGGTTGACTGGAAATTCTCAGAGAAATGGGTGTCACCAAGCTTTGCTATATTTCTACATAGGGTCCCCTCATCCTGCGCCAGTGTGGCAGTGGATTTCAAAAGCAAAGAGAAGAATGATTTAAAGTTTGACATATAATAATCCAACCAACAATAAGTCAACTGAGAGAACCCCAATAAGGAAATTCCCCTTTGTATAACTGGACTGCTTAAAGAGCTTGGGCTGATAGATGTGTCCTGGTTTGTTCAACATCCAGTGGCAGGTCCTGTATGTCCAGCCATGAGCAGATTGTCTTTGCTACTGAGGAAGTTCTGGATATCTAATTTCAGCTCACAAACTTTCCCTGAGCAGTTGCTATGTGAGTGACAGGGTTCGCTCACTGACAGGATTTGACATAGTTCCTGGCACCGGAGGGCTCCCTACCCAAGGCAAAGACCATCATCCACCAGTTACCTGCCATGCCCTGCACTCACTGCAGAGCAGCTGTGTGTCTAAGTCTCCATGACAGTAAGGGTAAGGGTGGGGAACACTGCCCTGCAGACTCCTCGGGGGACAGAATCCTGGAAAATCCGTGGCTAGGAGGACATTCGCTCACACTCCTGGTAGTTCAGCTCCCCTCGGTTTTGGGTTGGATCTTGGATACCAGATAGCGGAGTCATTAAAGGAAGTCATTCCCTGGACTGTGGTTTTTGAAAATGTTGTCAGGGTCCAAGGAGTGTGATGTGTGGCATTTCCTCCCGCTGGCAATAATGACACAGTGAGTTACTCACATTTAGGAGGTGGTGCTCCTATAAATGTCACATTCAATATTACTCAGCCTACATGCTGACCAGAACCTATGTTTTTATGGAATCATTTTGACAGGCAAGTTTTCTTAAAGATACTTCTGTGTATGTGGCACCGGGTCTCTTTGTTCTGGGTCCCAAGAGCAGCTCGGTTGGTAGGCGTGTGGCACCGCTGTGACAGCAGTGATTCTCTGGGCTGCAGGTAGAATCACCTAGATGCTGGCACTTGACCTTCCCAGACCAATTATAAGAATCTCAGGCAGTCAGGTCCTGGCCTGACTGCTTGGTTGTTGTTTGGCTATACTGTGGTTTGAACTCAGGGCCTCACACTTGGCTAGATGGGTGTTCTCCCACTTGAACCACTCTGCCAGCCTTTTAGCCTGCTTATTATTCTTTTTTTAAATCTGCCCAGGTGATTCCAGGACAGAGTGACTCTAATTCTGGGTTGACAACCATTAGCCTTGCCTTGGCCAGCTGCTAGGTTGGAACATGCTGCTGCTCCATTGGGCACTGTTTTCTAGCCCCTTTGTGTTGATTTGCTTGAGATTAAATTAATGAATAGAAGACAGCTGTGGACACAGACTTACAAATGAACTACAGGCAGCTTGGGAGCAGATGTCAGGAACACCAGCCTGTAAGCACTGTCCTTGGGTTAACACCAACTACAACTAGCAGGAGTGCCACCCAATCTGGCCTGTCTTCTGCACCCCCTGCCCCATCGCTGCCAATCTCTACTCACTCTCTGGGAAGTCAACATTGTGCTATTAGATCAAGCTACAAACGTAATTCATAGCAAACAGAAGAATAAGTGAAGTTGATTTCTCCAGAATGTACAGAGACCCTTACTGTTTTTCCTACTCCTACCCCCAACATAAGAACACTTTCTCTGGAGAGGAACTTATGCTTTGTCCCAAAGATGTGACCCCCACTAGGAGGCAGAGAGGACAGGAGGGCAAAACAGATTCCCCACAAGTCTTGGCCACTCACAAAACAGCCCTGGCAACTGTCCAACAGGCTAGGGCACCAGGTACAACTTCCTGGGAGAGTTGTAGGTCATGCTTAGATGTCCATTGGAACCATAACCCCTCCCTGCATTCAGGAGCTACACCTGGTTAGGCTCCCTGGTGACCAGGTGTTTGAGGAGAATGTGGAAGCAGCTTACACCTGCAAAGCTGTGGCTCGCCCTCCATATCCCAGAACTTAACAGAAAACCAGAACTCAAGGACAGATGGCAGTGGAGCCTGAAGGAGTTACCCTTCCCTGCCACCAGTGGGAGAAGCTGGGTGTCCGGATGCCAAAGGCCTCCCAGCTGCGGAGTCTGCTGGTCTGGAACTCATCTCTGGAGCCGACTTGTTCTTGGCTTCTTTCCGGGGCTGCCAGAATTAGGGCAATTAGTTTCACTTGTGAGGCCACTGTCCTCATTCAGATGCCTTCCCCCAAAAAGAAAGAAAAAGAATAGCATGATTTGCTAATTTTGTAGGCAGAGGGCAGCTGTCAGATGCTATGTAGGTTTATCATTTTATTCTTGCTAACTTTCACCAAATTTTCAGCTTTCATTGTCTGAGTTCTGAGGCAGGAGCTGTAGAGAGATACAGCTTTCACACCTAAAAAATAATTACACAACATAGAGTGAAAATTAAAGCGAATTGTCCCATTTAATACACAGGTAAGTGTAAGTCAACAGACTCCAAATTGGCTCCCTTTTGAAAACCAATCTACTAGATCTTACTAAAAGTCAAAGCCAAAGCCAAACTCCATTGTCACTTTGTCATTTACTCCCCAAAACATTCAGATGTTAACTATTTACAATTGAGAACCATTTACAACTTTAAGTAAGTGTGAGAAGCCAAAAAAATCCTTCAGAACATTTCAAGTGCCTGGGACACAGGCCACATTTCCCACACTGATGTTTCTGTTTTCTAGTTAAATATCCAAATTATTTCTTTGGTTCCCAAGCTTTGACATGCAGATAACTCCTTTAGTCTCCAGCCAACTTCTGGTGAGATCCAGAATTTCCCTTTAGAGCTGCTGGTTTTTGGGGAAGGGGAAAGTCATTCTACCTTGAGGTGACCAATGTTGACATACCCATGTGGGCCGTCCTGGACTTCTGACCAGGTGTGTCCCCTCACTGCTATGCTTTTACCACATCTTTCTTGATGTCACTGATGTCACCTTCCTCTAGTTTCGAAATAGACTTGTGTTGAATTAGAGCAATGCACACCCCTAACCATGGCATCTCCACAGAGAGTGGGAGAAAGAGGACAGAGACTCAGCCCCAGGCGCAGTGCCAGCAGGAGTCATGTGTCTAATCCACCCACTTCTGCTGGCAACAGGGCAGCTGGCATGGCTGTGTTTTCAGTTAAACCCATGCCCTTGAGTGGTCTTGCCTGGGATGCAGATCCCAGAACCCATGCTGAGGACTGACCACACTCCGGAAATAACTGACAAATGCCAGAGCAGTCTAGTTGCGAGGACTGGGGGCCCATGCCATGCCAGCTGAGTTTGCTCCCAGGCCACCAAGGAGTGATGTCTTCTCTAGCCAAGGGTGGGGGGGAAGTCATGGCTCACCACTGAGCCACAGAGCTCTATTTCCCCTCTTCTGTGGATTTCCTTCTCTTCTCCCTTGGATTCCCAAGGGATGTGTGGCCTTGCTTCTCACACCCAACACCCATGTTTCCTTCTTCTGCCCTTTTTATTTTCTCTTTCTTTCCTGCACTCCCCATCCCCGCCCCCAAGCAGGTGCACCAGCATTACCACCACTCCCCAGGCCTCCCCCACTGCCCTGTAGGAAGGAAGTTGCTTACCACTCGGGAGACCTCAGAAGGGCAGAGCTGATTGAAAAGCAAAAATTTTTTAAAGCTGCACAAATAAAGTTAAGATGTCCGTAACTGAGTCACGCTCCTGCACAAAGTGAGTGTCAGGTACACCAGGTCTTGTGTTCACTATGACCACACACTCTGAAAAACAGACTTGGACTAAATGACTCTGTGTGTGTGTGTGTGTGTGTGTGTGTCTGTGGCTGGGAGGCTTTGGAACCATCCCAACCAAGACCACTCTGGAAATGTGGCCATGATCACACTGGGGGCTATATCTCTCTTCAAATACTTGGAAAGGTTGTCAGGTATTTTGTGTGTTTCTTCAGGGAGAATCAGGACCAGGGGAGAAGTTGTGGGGATGCAGAGTTGGGGCTCAGCACCATGAAGAACTTTCCAACAACTAAGGCAGGACAGGGGAGGAAAGGGGCAGCTTATGAAGTGAGGGTGCTCGAAGCTGGAACACATCTCAGAAGAGGCTTGGTGTCCCCTCCTCTGGGAGCTCCCAGCACACAGGGCTTGGAAATGAGAATCCTAACCTGGCCTGGCTGGTTCCTGCTCTTTAAAATTTGCTGGGTAAAGGATGTGAGAGACTCCTTATTCCTGGGGATGTGACAAACAGCAAGGGAAGAAAGAGCTTATGCCTGTTCATATCCACTGTGTGACTATTATACCTCGCACTTCCCATGGCTCTGTTGATATGTTACTGTTGGCTCTAAAATCTCCCAAATTCTTTTTCTCCTTGTGACTTCATAGACCATCTCGGTAAGCACTGTGTTGAACGTGGGCGTGGGGAAGCTGAATATCAAAACACCTGACATCTGTGCAGTAGATGACGTTAACGATACATAGTGAAAGCTGTTGAACAATGGGGGTGGAAGGGAGGGGGTAGGAGAGAGTAATGGTGGGGTTGAACTGACCAAAGTTAAATATATTCACAGCTGGGAGACATTGAGAAACCCCTTTGAACATTGACTTTGGAAGTAATAAGGAAGGACAGGACTGTAAAATAGGTTCTGGGGGGTGGTGAATGTCCAAAATGAAGGAGAGTGAATATGGCCGGTGTGCTTTGTATACATGTATGATATAGAACAATGAAACCTTTTGTAATTGTTTTAGATGGGGCGGTGATGTCGGGGAGAGACGGTGGGGGTGAACCTAACCCATGTTCAATGTAATGCTATTCAGAAATGTCACAATGAATCCCCCCTATATGTATGCTAATGAAAATGAGGGGAAAAATGTGCGGCTGGGCACACCTGTCTGGTCATTTGTGTTGTAGTGAAGGAGCGGGCGGAGGGTCAGACACCCACCTGGATGGTTGTTGATGTTCTGACTGGCAACTCCAGGTCAGGGTACATTGTTGTATTTTCATGAGAGCAGATCCATAGCTGAGCTCCTTTGCTTTTAAAAAATATGTAGATATTGCTTTTACAAATTGCTGTTAGCTTGGAAAGAAGGCCCACCCAAGGGCCAGATTCCCTGCTGCCTCCATCGTGGGAGCCCGTAGGCCTTGGGCTCTCTCTGATCCCAGGAAGTGGAGTCTGGACCAGGGCTGACACCTTGCTGTGCATCAGCAGAGTCCTTTTCCCACCTCCACTGCTAGCCTTGGGCTCTTACCTCCTGGGTCGCCTCTGTTAGACCTTCCCTTCCTAGCTTTCTCTCTGACAGCTGCCTTGGCTCACTTGATCCCCTCCAAAGCCACAGGACATATGGCATTTGCATTGTGCAAGGGTTTGCAGGGAGAACCACTCTGTACATTTCTAAGTGGAAGAAGATAGTGCTCAGAGCCAAAGGGAAGCCATCACTGTGAAATTGCCACAAATCCCATTGACCAGAACTCTGAGACCAGAACTTGCTAATAGGAGGTTGCAGGTATCAAGGAGACCCTCTGTGAGGACAGAGGGAGATGAAGGGCCTGTCCTCTGTGGTACTGTGGTTATCTTATTCAACCCAGAGTCAACAACTGGCCTGCAATGCAGTCTTGTTCTTACAAGACCTAAGGGTGCCCATTTTTCTACCTGACATCTGATCAACACTAACCCGAGTACCCAAGAGGGGAGGAAGGGGAAGAAGTCTAGGGTTGAAATTTACATTTTGCACTGTGCACTCACTAAATACTGTTTTAGTTTTAGGGATATTGAGGGATTCTTCCCAAAAATCTCTGCATTTGGTGGTCATCCTGTTTCTGGTCCTCAGTTTGGCTGCTTCACTGCTGAGTTCGGGGTTTACCTTCTACAACAGCATCAGCAACCCCTACCAGACGTTCCTGGGCCCGATAGGGGTGTACACCTGGAATGGACTCAGTGGTGAGTTTCCCCCAACCCCAAAAGACCCCTTGCTCTGTGGACAGTCAAACCCACCTTTGTCTGTGCCTTAGGAACAGACTTAGGAACACTCCCAATGAGGTTGTACCATGGAAATCACATTGACCTATGATGTGCCTGGTCTTGTGCTGAGGACTGGAGTTTATTTTTGTTAATCTTCAGTATTTATTAAGCATTTCTTGAGATAGAGTTCTGTTTTGAATGCACTGATAGATGAGAGGAGTGGGGTAAGCAATATAAGCCAGCCTTTGCTTTTGAGCAGAATCCTTGCTAGGCTTCTGCTCTGTACTTAACTCCAAACCAGGCTCCAGGTAATGAATGGAAGTGCATACATGTGCTGGGCTTGGTGCAATATGCCTGTAGTCCCAGCTACTTCAGAGAAGGAAACAGGAGGATTGAAAGTTCCAGGCCAACCCCAGCAAAGATCTTTAAATCAGTAACATAAACAAAAGGTAGAGTGGTAGAGCACTGGCCTAGCGTGTGTGAGGCCCTGGGTTTAATCCCCAGTACTAGCAAAGAAAAAAAGTGCACACTATACACACTTATCTACTTTCCTTCTTACCTCTGTTTAATGAGTCACCTAGGGCTGAGAGATGACATATCTGGTTGAGTGTGTCACAGAGCCACAAATGGTGTCATTCCGTGGACTCTGGGGCCAACACTGTTCTTGTGGATGGGGGTGTGGTCTGCTGTTGCTAGGTGATTTGTTTGTCTCCTGGGTAGGTGTTGGGGTGGAGGATGGAGTCCAGATGGGAAGTGGAACCCAGCTCTGACTCACAGCATTTTTTATTGTGTTATTTGTGTTTTTTAGCCAGGGTCTTGCTATATAGTCCATGCTGCCTTTGAACTTGGGATCCTTCTGCTTCAGCCTCCCGAGTGCTGGAATTATAGGCATATACCACTGTGCTCAGCGGAGTTGCAGTATTTCTGACTTTCACTCAATCATCTTCCACATCTGCCTGGAGGCCAGTGGAGTGTCTCTTTGCTACATTCCCTGGCCTTCAAGGTCTTGTCCCTGCCAGGCAGTTGGGTTTCTACTCTCTTCCTCTTTCCACAATCAAAATTTGACTTAAAGAACAAAGGCTGTCCTATGAAGTCATGGCTACACTCAAGGTCTCAGCTCATGTTGTCAGAACTCTGTTTCCTCCATCACTTCATCTCCTGACTTCCCGGCGTTTCCTCTATTGTTGCCCAGCCTGGTCACAGGACTGCCACCTCTCTGGGCTCTGACAGAAGAAGAAAAACACATTATTTCCAACTGTTAAGAGAGAGTCCTGGGCCCAGTTCTTACTGGTATTGCCCTCCCCTATCCCTTGGCTAATCAATGAAACCAATGTGGTTGGTTGAATTGACCCACTGGTGCATCAGTGGGGTTGGCCCTTGCCCAGCCTAGGGTTCATGGCATGGGTTCCTAGAGGAAAGCAAGAGCCAGTGCAGGGTGGAGGCCAGCGTTGGGCCTCATTGCCACCATCTGCAGCATGCGAGGGTCAACCATTTCTGTCAGGGATGTAGTTCCCACGTCTTTTCCTCTACAGCTGAGTATAGGCTGACTTTACACAGGTCCGAGGCCTCATTCATGTCTGTGGAGGAAACAAATGTGGTGGGGGGGGGGCAGAGGACAGCTTTCCTCACAGCCCCGCCTACATCTATCACCAAAGAACAGTGTGGTAGGGAGAGACTTCCCCTTACATTCCTTCCAGGCCCAAAGGCAAGTTCTAACACAAAGAGACCTGGGAGGTAGGTGAGAAAACCATCTGAGATTGATGTGTAAGGAGTGGATTTCCCTTCTGACTAGAGTCTGGAGGAGACCTTTGAGAAACTGAGGGAGCCAGGCAGAGCCCTTTGGGTCCCCATACTTTAAATGCCAGACTCTGCCTTGACTTACACTCAGGGACCTCTGATTTTCTTCACCCATTTTGAGGGGTGCAGAATTTAGTGACTATTTTCAGTTTGCAGGAAGCCGAGGATGCAAAAGAACTTGGGTAGTGCCAGCCAGATGTTGGAGCATTCTGGCCTCTGGATCCTGACAGCCTGGGTCAGGCTGACTTCCAGGGTCAGTGGGAAGCCCTGCAAATCCTGGCAAGCTGGCTTTGCACACATATCAAAGGCAGGGATACAGATGAAGGGCAGGGTACAGAGGGCAGAAGAGGAAGTGGTTTTCTGGCTGGTTTCTGGTAGAGAAAAGCAGCAGTACCACCATCCAGGCCTTGTGTCCTCTGACCCTAGCCTGCCTCTGCACCACACAGGCCTGGTATGGCGGGGCCCTGACCACATGGCTTGTCACTATAGACTGAGAGGCAGGTGGAGGCAGAGAGACTCAGCTCCAGATGTAGTGTGCCTCCACCAAGGAACACAGAGAGCATCAAAGTGGGTCACATGGCCAGCAGGACAGGCCAGGACAGATGCCAGTGTCTCCAAGCCTTCAGAACTCCTCATTTCCCCAGGGCTTCCTCCAGCCCCCAGTAATTCTCCTGTCCCAGAAAGCGAAGAAGCCGGGCAGCTGGAGGCTGCCTAAGGGGATGCCAGTCAGCACTGAATCTGTGTGCTGGCTCCTCCTGATGCAAATCAAAGCTCAGGGCATTAACCCTGCCCCTTTATGATTCAGCTTTTATAAGGAACTTCACAAGAGGAGAATGAGGGATAATGAAGGCGTGTGTGGCGCCTGGAGACCATCAGAGGAATGGGCTTTTGTTCATACAAATGATGAAGAAATAAAACCATTATTTTGAGAATGAGGTCTGTCATCAACATCCTTCTTACACAAAAATCCTCTAATTAGGTTCTCTTGGGAGGACCATTTGGAGAGCTTCCCTGCATGTGGGTTAGAGCTGGGATACATTTGATGCTACAGCATCCACTGTGCACTACACGTTCTGAATGTGTCTACAGATGAAGGAGCCCAAAAGACTTCTGGGCTGGGGATTCCCCGGTGGCCACCTGTACGTGCTCAGACCCCACCCGGGCCTGAATATCTGCATCCTCCTCCTTCCCCTAAACCTTTTAATGTCATCTTTATTGAGATGAGTCTCACATACACCGAGCCACCCACTTAAAGTACACTTGAAGTGCACTTTAGAATGTGCTCAGACATGTGCAAACATTACTACAATCAATTGTTGAATGTTTTCACCAACTCAGAAAAAAAAAACCCAACTTCAGTTATTCCCTGCTCCCCCAGTGCACTCCCTGCTTAAGCAACTGTGAATGTACCTTTTGTAGATTCTTCCTGGTTAAAGGAATCTCTAAGCCAGGCAGAATGAAACTGAAACTCCTGAGCAGGCATTTGCAGCTCTTCAGGGCCCATCTGTCTCCGTGTGCAGTGCTGAGAGCCTTGTGGCTCTTGTGTTATGAGCTGGGCACATCTCTCTCAGTCTGGGTCACTCAGGACTCACTGCCCATGGTGTCTGTGTCAAGGTAGCCACTTCCATCTGTGATGCTACTGTTCTTCCTCAGCCTTTCCCTCTTGTTCCCCCATTGGACCTCTCTTGGAGATACTTGTCCTGTTGACTTTCCGGTCCCCTCATCCATTCAGGACACTTTCTACATACATTGTCCTAGGAAGTGGGCTGCTATTTGGTACCAGCCTCAAAGCAACTACTTCCAAAAGGTTGTGAGCTAGAATGTTGGCTCTTGGTTAGACACTGCCCTGAATAATCTTCAGCGTTTCAATCCTAGAATCCAGTATGTGTCATATCTTTTCTATGTCCTTCCCAATGCTTCAAAGACTGTAAACCCCAGTATAGATTCTGAATAAATACCTGTAGATTACGTGTTCCATGAAGCAAGTAAGTGACATTAACAAATATGTCTCCATACTGTTCATAAAACTTAATCTTCTTTCAGCCTTCCTCGCTTTCTTGACCATGATCCTGTTCGTGGGGAACACAGAGGCCAATCATCTCTCCCAAGCCTTGTCCAAGGAACTTTATGCAGACATCAGTGTCATCAGGACAACCCACAGTTACGGATACTCGTTTTGGCTCATACTTCTTGTCATTCTTCTGAATATAGTCACTGTGGTCATCATCATTTTCTACCAGAAGGCCCGATACCAGCAGAAGCAAGAGCAGAGAAAGCCAGTGGAATATGCTCCCAGGGACGGCATTTTATTCTGAATTTCACCTCTTGTTGCTTTGGCATTCTGTCTTGCTCTGTTTTTTGCATCAGCTTCCTGATCAGTAGCTAGTTTACTTCTCTGGACAATCAGCATGGAAAAGTGACTATCATTTGTGATAGCTTTGTACCCCATGACATGTGCTCTTCATAGATGCTGTTTGCACAGCTTCATAGATGTCCTCTTGGGAAGGGTTTTCTACAAAGGCGGAGAAGATGAGAAATGCTGCTAGTCAAGGTAGTGTTCAAAGAGTGAATGATTAGGGGCCTGTAGACCTTTCCACCAGGTCTCACTAGCTAAAATAATAAAGGTCTATGTTCCTCACCTTTTCTTTGACTAACTCAAAGCACTCAGCACTTATGATCTATTGTCCTCAGGAGGGGCCAGCTATCTTCATTCTATCTATGAGTGAAGACTTCCGTGTACAGAGGGATTCAGAACTTGTCTTTCCAGGACCAGGGGTTGGGGACAAAAGGACAGGCACAGGAGGAAATGACCTGTTTCTGTTACATAAATCAAATCCAGTAGAGGATCAAACAGCTAAGAGGTAATCCTCAAACCCATTTTAAGGTTCCAAGGTGTGGTATTTGAAGGAAAGAGATCAGAAGAGAGAAGATCAGGTCTCTTTGTTAAAGAGGATGGCTTGTATTTCTGTCTTAACAGGATTGTGAATTTAGTCAAAATGGAAACAACCCTGGCAAACACTCCATCAACTCACCCTTGGCTTGGTTACTTCAGTGTAGACACAGGTGTAGCTGGTCAGATGGGAGCGTATGCCCAACAGGAAACTCCTGCCCAGCAGAGGAGAAATGGGTCAGAATTCGATGGCTCCCTGGCTTTTTTTTTTTTCCCCTGAGTACAGACCAGGCATGTGTGGAACTCAGGTGTTGGGAAGCCCTCCAAGAAATAGTTTCAGTTTTCTGCAAAAAGTGAGGGTTTTTTTTTAATGTTTTCTGAGAAGACAGATAACCAGGGAAATAGAAAAGGCACCCAAACATATTCGACTTACTTGCCAGTAGAATAGTTTCCTAGCTAAGTCCTGTTGAGAATCCTTTGAGCTTGACCATTCCAAAAGTTTGCTGGTCAGACATTGTCAGGACTGGGAAATGGTCACCTTCCATGTCTTTATGGAACCAGAACCAAAGGGGCAGTTTCCCTGGTGCAATTTGCAAGGCAGAGCTCTTTATACAGGGGAATGTGGCATGAGTGAAGTTTCTCCCGGATGCATGACCTTCTCACTGCTACTTCTCAACAATCCATCTTAGAAATATGCAGTGGGTGCCTGTCATGTGGCCTATTGTTGTACTAACCTGAGGATGTGCTCATGGAGTTTGCTGTCCGGTAAGCAAGACAGCCACAAAGCATCTCAATTCCAATTAAAACAGGGCTGAGAGTGTGTCTCAAATGGTAGAGTACCGTCTAGCAGAGTTCAAAAAAAAAAGGTAAAAATGTAGGGGGGTGACTTGGGACTAGGGTGCAATTTTGAGGTAGAACCCTTGCCTAGCATGTGCGAAGCCCTGGTTTCTATCCCCAGCACTGCAAAAAACAAGCCAAACCAAACAAAAACTCAGTCACAAAATTGTGCTCATTCTTTGAAAGTTCAGTTCTCTATCACCCTACAAATTGGAACACATTTTTAAAAATCTGATCATTAACAGTAAAATTTTCCCAAATTCTTTGAGTCCAGAAACATTTGTATTCTTTGAAGTTCTGAGTTTTATATCAGATTTTGATAATGTGCACAGGTAATGAAGAGGAAACAGATGCAACAAACCACTGCCAACGATTGCAAAATAAACAGGGACTCGAGTCACGTGTCACTGCTGTTGTAGTGTGTATTGTACTGTGTTTATTCATCTCAGCATCCGAGCAGAGCTGGGCTTCCTTAAGGAACTGTCTTAATCCTTTTATCACAAGTGACCTTTTAGGACCCATTTCAAACACAGGCACCAGGGAAATGGAACTCTGTCTCACAATTCAGGAGACCAGAGAATGGCTCCCTTAATATGTTTTAAGATAGAAGGCAATGGAATTACATGTGTATGCAGTGGAAATCTTGTTAAACAATGACCAGACTTATGTACTATTCACAAGCACAGTTGGTTGGGAAGAGTACAACATAGACTCCTCGTCCCAACTGCAAGGTGGGTCTTTTAGAGGACATCCCTGGCCCAGTGAAGTGGACTTAATGCTGGTGAATAGCAATTTGCTATTCTAAAACTACTTAATAAGTGTACATTCTCTTACATTTCTGGAATGGAGCCATTCAAAGCATATTTTTACGAGATCTGAACTATTCTATAGTTAGATTGTTTCAGGGGTCATGATAGAACCCCTAAATAACCTGCATGGTTTTGTTATAATAAACCAGGTTGCAAGCTTCATCTATATTTGCAAAATAAATAATATGAAATATCATGTTCATCAACTCTATAAAAACATGGTGTATCATGATAGGCTTTAGAGAAATCAATACTTTATATTCAAGACAAAAGGATTAGGTTCCCCCAAAGATCTGGTGTTTGCAAGGCACTGTGGGAGCAAGAGGTAGCCTCTGGGTTCATTAGGATTTTATTTTATTATCTCAACCAACCCAGGAGTTAGGTGGGTGGGCAGCCTGTTCTCTTGATATGACACTTCTCAGGGTCCAAATCTTGATCCTGTGACCAGCCTCTGTGGCTGTTATAATCTGCGTACCCTTGGATGTCACAGTGGAGTTGCAGGTACACATAACTACCCCCTGCCTTCAGAAGCCACTCAGTCCCGGAGAGGCCTACACAACCTCAGACCTCCAAAGGACAGTCAGGCTCAAGTAGAGTTCCAAGGTGGGTCCCCTACCTGCCCAACCACCCTCTTTCTCTTACACCAGAATCAGCTGCTCAGTGTGGATTCAAAGGCCAGTTCTTTGTTGCCTAATGCAATCTTTCTATGGTCTAACTGGGGACCTGGGCACAGTGTATGTGGGACAGTGCTGGCTCGGAATCCAAAGTCTCCCTGACCCAGACATTTCAGTTTGGGGAGAAGTTGGGCATCTCTGGTGCCTGAGCCCCTTTGGCCACTTCCAACCCAGCACCCAAAACTCCAGGGGTCCAGGCAGACAAGGTCATCAGCCAGGGTGTGGAAGCTGACCCCTGTGACAGCTGAAAGTACAGTGGCCCCCGAGGCCTAGTCTTCATTCCCTGCTCCACCCTCCAGGTACCCCACCTCTCAGAATTTAGGCACCCAGTTGGGGATTCCATTTGTGGACACTTGTGCCATCTAATAGCCAGCTACAAGAAACGGCAAAGTCAGTGCTTCTCCTGGGCCTCTCTCACTTATGACTATAAAATGAACAATGTACACTCCCTGGATTAAGCAGGAAGTCCTGGAGTCTGGCCTCCTGAGGTTTCTGCTGACTCGGGGAGGCCTCCATGAATCATCTATGAGATGGGAGAACAGTAGCAGGTTTTGCCATGTTGAGAATGAGCAAGGAGTGCATGCCCTGATAGCTGATGAGCTGATGGCCGGGCTCCCCTTACAGAACCCTGAGTCTGTGGCACATGGTGGCAACGGTGGAGGTGAGTCCAATGTCACTGCCTTCCGCTGCTGCAGACCACATTAATTACTTTGTTCTGCCACCAAACAACTAATACACAGAAAACTTCAGCCCAGGGGCATCAGTAGGCTTGCCCAGTGGCCAAAGCTAACAAGTAGCAAAGCAGAACTACGCACAAGTCTCCAGGTCTTTTCCACCTGTATGTGTGTCCCAGTTCCATGTGTGTGCATCAGGCTTATTCATGGTAAGTGAATGACCCTGTGCAGGGTGGCTGTGGAAGGCGCTGTGGACTAAATGCATGCAAGTGGTCTTGTGTGAGAGCTGCTACCTTTGTTCCTTATGTCCTCCTGTTGTATGTGCTCAGCTGCCCAATGACTCTGAACAATGATTATAGCATCAGTTAAAATTTCAGACAAGTACTAATTAAAAAAAAAGAATTTGTGTCCATGGTAGCCTTCAGACTCTGAAAGTTTCATTTTTAAAATGTTTAAATGTTTATTAATGGCTAGACTCCGTGGTTTACACCTGTAATCCCAACTACTGATGGGAGGCAGAGATCAGGAGAATCAATGTTCAAAGCCAACCTGGGTAAAAAGTTAGTGAGACCACATCTCAACCAATAAGCTGGGCATGGTGGCTTGCACCTGTCACCCCAGCCATTTGGGAGGTGTAGGAAGGAGGATTGCAGTCCATTTGGGTGGGAGTAAAATCTCAAGACCTTGTCTGAAAAGTAACAAAGCACAAGGGTTAGCAGAGTGGCTCGAGTGAGAGTGCCTGCCCACAAGTGTGAGGCCCTGAGTTCAACCACCTCCCTAAACACGTTTAGTAGGAAAGAAAAATGCTGGCAGAAATTCATTAGATTTTATAGTTATTTCCTTTAAACAACTTACTTTAAAGAAAGAAAAAAGAAAGAAAGGAAGAATCTCTTTCCTACTTTCTGATCCCTTCCTGCCAAGAAGGTTGATTTTAACAAAGCCTTGGGCTCATGTAAATCACTCTTCTGCCCAGAGTGCATCGCTCTGTCTCCACCTTTCATTCAGAGTGGAGATAGGGTGAAGTGCTCTAGTCTCCTAGGAGGGCGCATGGGTATTGCTTCTCAGGCTCCACCAGCAGGGTACCCATGGCCACCAGTGTTCCTGTCTTCCAGGTGCTGTGCATGCAAGATTCTGCCAAATCCTTCCAGCAAAAGTTCATACTGCTTTATAATTAGCCTCATTATATAGATGAGACACTGAGGCTTAGTTAAATATTGTATCCGTCATCCCACAGCAAGGGAGAGGCCCAGCGCATGTACCCTCCAAGATCTCCCAAGAGACACGTGACTGACATAACCTGACAGTGGCCCTGGGTGTGTATGAGAGGGTTGTAAAAGTCTGAAGTACACAACCAAGTACTAGACCTTGGACTCCACTGGCCACTCCCAGGCACGTGTCATTTTGAGTAACTATATGTGCTGGATTAGTACT